TTGCACCATGATACTTTCCATTTAATAGAATCAATTTAAAAAATATGATAAATTGAATGAAAAACCGCAGAAATTTATGCCCCTATTATGGTTTACAAATCAACTCTTCTTTAGTTGAAATTTTGCTCTTTGGTATTATCGATAACAACTTAAAATTTAAAGTTGAAATTTATTACTACTTTTTTGGAAAAAATTACAACTTATCAAAGCAGTTTTAACAAATTACAACTCAATTGTTTAGAATAAATTTTTAAAATAAAACAAAGTAAAGTCTCATTTACGAAAAACACAAATTCATAAACTTTTCACTTAATTTTATGACAAAAAAGCACTTTTTAGGTTGGCAACATCAACACAATTACAACTGAAATTGGTTGTAATTCATAATACCAAAAATAAGTTGAGTTGTTCTAAAGTTGAGTTGTTTCAATTTCAACTCAACTGAGTTGAGTATAAACCATAATAGGGGCATTAATATCAAATAATAAAAAAAAATAGTTTTTTGTCGATTTCAAATCGATTTGATTTAAAAAATGAATTTCATCACATACCTGATTATTTAGTTAAGAAAATTTAAAAAAATTTTCACAGGTTTGAATCAATGTTTATTGGGAAAATAAATGTAATTTTTAATGAAGGTATTTTAAGCTATTTGACTTTTAAAATTAAGATGACAAAAGATGACATATTATTGAAATAGATGACAGAAAGAGGACATAAATTTTAAAGATGACGCCCAGTTAAAATAGATGATTGTTCTCTAAAATTAGGACGTATGGTCAGCTTAATAATATATATGAATGAATTTGTTAACATAAATTTACATAAATTCGTTTATTTTTATACATTTACATCACTTTTCAAAGAAATTCCTTTAAACTCATTTTATTGCACTCAATAAAAATTTCAAAGAATAAATGTCTCTTGTGTGCAAAAAATTATTTCATGTTATTTAAGCCTTCTGTTATTTTTTTACTGTGATGGGATGTTCTGTTTTTTTAACGTTATGATGTTTAATGTTTATGTTAAGTAGGAACAAGTAAGAGTGCTACATTCGGCTGTGCCGAATCTTATATACCCTTCACCATAGTGTAGTTAAAAAATATCAATTTTATAAGATTTAAATTTATTTCATTTTCCCGACAATATCATTATTATAGTAATAGCTAAACAAAATAAACAACAACAACGCTAAACGATATAAACACACAAAACACAGTAAAACCAACAGACATCCAAACATACGAAACGAAGTACACAAAATAAACAAAAACAAAATACACAATGGAACCAACAGACATCCAAACATACGAATACACTAAGAAACAAAAACAATATACACAAGGCTATGAAACAAACATACGAAACTGAATACACCAAGAAACAAAAACAACATACACATGGCAATGAAACACACAGCCATTCAAACAAATCAAAAAAAAACAAAATACACAACGCAATGAATAAGCAGTGTTGTTGTTGCTTATTTTTTATGAAATTTTCAGAGGTTGTCTCGGATTTTTGCTTATATCTCCGTTGTTTATGGGCGGATTTTGCTGATTTTAAATAGGAAACTTCTCGAAAGCATGTCTGATAGAATTATTGAAGATTTGGATCCCGAAGATAAGGATTCAGAATATATATACTTTATAGGGTCGGAAAATTATATTTTGGAAATTACAAACGGAGTGACAAACTTATAAATACCCTTCTCACGAAGGTGAAGGGTATAAAAATACACAAGGCAGTAAAACCAACAGACATCCAAACATACGAAACGAAATACAGAAAAAAACAAAAACAAAATACACAACGCAATGAAACCAACAGACATCCAAACATAAGAAATTCAATAAACCAAGAAAACGAAAACAATATACACAAGGCAATGAAACACACAGCCATCCAAACATACGAATTTGTTTACAATTGCTATATAACCAACCTATTTTTGAACATTAAAATTATTTTTTAGGAGTTTTACGATTTGTACTGGATCGATTGTAACCATTATATATAGCAAATTTAATAGAATAATTTCAATCCATCCATTAGTCACAAGATATAAGTCGTTTTGAAGAATAAGCAAAAAAAGCGACTCTGATTTGTTGTGTCAAAAATCAGAGTTGATTTTCTTTCTTTGTGTTTAAAGATTAAGTTATGTAAATTAATTAATATTGCTATATAATTATTACATAATATAATTATAAAAAGTAAAAATTTGTATTTTCTTTCATGGCGTTTATGTTAAAAGTAATGCCAACTTTTATATTTTTTTGAAATATTTCAGAGCTTTTTCTCTTTTACTTTTACTTTTTCATTATCGATTTTTTTAATTTTATATTTCATCACATTTAGTATGATAGTTTTTTAATAAATATTTACTAATTTAAGAAGTACATTAATTTAAATGTTTAAGTTTAAAGTACATATTTCAATTAATCGTAATAATTAAATTTTTCTGATGTACATAATTTTTAAAACATATTAACATCACTGTTTTTTTCTTGTTTACATTTTTTTGTATTTTATGTCAGCTGTTTTTAGCTGTCACTTAACGCTGTGGATTGAATTCTATTTTGTACAGGTTCATCCGCAACGTAACTTCAACGTTACGGCAAAACTAAAGATAAGCTTAAAGGTAGAATTACCCGAACGTTGCTGTCCACGTACTGTAACGTACCGTTACCACGTTTGTGCGCTAATAGAACATTTAAAAACGTAACGCTTGTCTTGGAAATAAACACAAAATAATTTAAGCTTTTAGGCGTTTTTTTTAATATAAATGTAAATTAATTAGCAATAACTTGCCTTTTTTGTTATTTCTTTAAGACTATTTTATGTAGATATTTAAACAAATTCAAAAATTATAAAAAGCAAAAATAAATTACATAAATATTCAATCAGCTGTTCGAAACAGTGATGGTTATTGATAGGCACTTTCTTTAAAATGGTTAAGTAGAAAAAGTACCAAAATTAAAAAATTTATATGTATAAGTAATAGCGTTTAACTCATCAAGCGTTTTTTTTTCCTGTTGTTTTTAAAATTATTTTCAACTTTTTTTAGAAAGTATTGAAAAATTTAAAGCTACCTTTACTTGCACTTGCAAAATTGAAGGTATCGAGCTATATAAATTGCATTAAATACAAATCAATGATTTTAAAAATATACATTTTTAAACTAACGTCTGTATTTAATGAGATGGAGCTCTCAAATTTATACCATTAGAAAGCCCAAATTGTTGTCTACAAAATTTTATGTAATATGAAGTAACGTTATATCGATATATTTTTAGATAACTGAGATAACGCCTGTTTCTATAATTATAATTAGAAAGTATTTTAAACAGTTTAACTTTGATTTGTTGGAGTTTGATACGTTATTAACGTGTTTTCTATAAAATTTTATGTATACACATTGCTAACATTGCTAATATGCATCCTAAAAATTTAAAAGGTAAACAATTTATTAAATTTAAGCATAATAATATAAAAATTCAAATTTGTACATACAAATAAAAAAAGTATGAAAAAAAGGAATTTGCACCACAGTTCTATTCTACATACAAAAGTGCCATCACTGTTCTACAAATGTCACGTAAAAACGTTATAAAATTCTATTTTATACAGGTTGAAACGTTACGGCTACATTTCGGTAAGCATTTTCATTGTCTTTCCTTAATCAAAAACGATCAGCTGACACGTTTTCTTACAGCTACAGTACGTTGCGCTTGGGTAATTCTACCTTAACCACTTACACAGGTTTTCGTAAGCCAAAAACGAATCAGCTGATTCATCACGGAACGTAGAGACTAACTGAGCCTTAACATTTGCCTTTATTTAATATTAAATTATGATTTAAATAAAATAAACTTTTAATGTAATAAAATGTATAAATTTTTTAGTGTATTTGGGAGAAAATGTGTAAGCAATGATTCGATCAAATAAAAACACAATCAATAAAAAAAATGAGATCATGACGGTGAACTCTCAAATCAATGTATTCGGAATACATCGTGAGAGCGGGAAATTCGTAGTATTTTAAAGAGTGTGATATTAAATCTTAGGACTCTCTAGACAATATTACAAATTTAATTGTTTGTTTTATATACAAAACAAAAATAATTAAATTATGTTTCTTTTCAAAGTACACCTAAATTCGAATACTTATGTATGTGATACACTGTACATAATTTTTGAGTGAGCGTTAAGACCCATTCACACGAGCACACAAGTAATATTATCTTTCACAATTTTGTGTAGAAGAGTACAGGTGGGATCGTCTAATGAAACCATCACACATTGAGAGAAAATACGGATGGAAAATTTGAGTCGTATGGCTCTCTGCATTTTTTGAAATGATTCAAAGAACAACCAAGTCGCATTAGATCCTTACTTTGTTCATCATCATATGACTTTTATTCTTTTTTTTGTCATACGGATGTAATTTTATTTTACTTCTTCATTAGACTTTACGTACGTAAAGTGCGATCGTCTGAAGGGCCCTTTAACGATTAAAAACAAAAAAATTAACTGGCAGTAAAGCAAATTAAACACAGTCAGGATGCACTAAGTAAAGTGAAATCAAGGCAGCTTATTTTTATATGTTTAATTAAAAAGTGATTGGGTTATGTCAAAAATAATTTATTTATTTTTATTCTAACATAAAAATTAGTGTTTTAAACAAAGAAATTATGAATGAAAATGCTGATAAAAGGGTTCCAAATGAACGCAATTTAAATGTTAAGTTTGTTATCCGGATTAACTAAAAGCAAAGCCTGTTATCTAAATACCCGATAGGTAAAAACCGAAAGTCGGCAATTAAAAAACTACTTTTTCAATGCCAGTTTTACATTCCCCATTTTTTTGTTAAGAAGGATCATTGCGTACCTTTACAGATCGTATCATTATTTCAAGAGTTACATATTTAGAAGTTTGACCCCTTATCCTAAATTACGTCCACTCTTAAAAAAGCTGAATAAATTAAATGTAATTCTTACAGTTTATTTTGCACCAAGTAATATGCCGTAAGTTTAATGTACAAATTTACTTCCGACGTGGGCATCTAAAATAAATGTAAATTTACTTGACATCAACAATATTATGCAAAAGAATTTAACTAAAAGTACCTCTAGTTCCTCCTTTTCTAATAACTCAATTTTTTCATTGTATTTTTCCATTTTGGTAAATTATTTATCTGTTTGTTTTATTTCTCTTTAGTTCAATCCCCAAGGATGTTAAATTTAGTATCAAAACACATTCAGGGTGCACTCACACAGTTGCCAGATTTGTCGTTTTTTTTTATGACGATTTAATCATGGTATCAAGGCGAATTCAGATAAGGTGGTGTTATTCAATCACCTGATTATTTTTTTCTTCACTTGACTGGTACGCACTGATGTTAGAGTTTGTTATTGTTTACATTTTTATATTTAAAAATGTCCGTTAAAACAGAGAAATACTTCGTTAGTAATTTGAATAAATTATGTAAAAAATCTGAAAATACCAAGCATTTTGTAAACAAATATTTTTCTTATATAAATAATGAATAATTGGTACGCATGTACAAACTTAATAAAACAATAATATTTTTTTCTATTAAATGTTAACAAATAAAACAATATTGTTTTATATTTACACTTTGTAGTTAACGCGATTAACCAAAAAAAATCTGTTCCGGAACATTTTATATAAAGAACCCACATGAGGTATTTACCCGACCGGTGGCAGCCGTCTTCTACGTTATGGTCAATTTTCAGATCTAAATAAAATGTAATAAATTGTTTTATATTTACGCAGTGTGTACCAAATGCAAAAACAAATTACATGGAAAATTTTATTGTTGCCGAACTGCCACCAACTTATCTGAATTCGCCTTGGCAAGGTACTCTGTTCAAAATTTCGTGTGAAATACTGTCACTACCCTACAAGAAATGTCCCTACAAGAAATGTATGACCGAAACTAACACATACAAAATTATTTCACTAACACTCTTGCAACATTTTTTTATAAAATTGCTAAAAAAAAAGTAGTTAATGGATAATTCCATTATCAAATGACCGGTAAAATGACTGTTGATGTACCCAATGTGTAGCAAAGGGTTTAATTTGTATATGAAAGAGTGAAACAACTACATTTGATTTTTACTGTGTTTCAGAGTTATATTTTTCGACGTTATAAATTAATTATTTCTGTAAAAACCAAAGATCAAGAAGCGAAAAATTAAAAAATTTACAAAGACTATAAATTATTAAAAATAAAGAGAATTATTATAAACAGAGTTTAAAAATAGTGCAGGAAGTGGAGCTGAAGATAAACACTTCGGAGTTTAGTCAATCTATGGTAACATGATTACTTACTTTTAATTTTTATATTTCGATATTTATATGTATATCTTCACAGACAACTTATGAAATGATTGTTAATTTATGTATATGCTTATTATATTAATAAAATTTAAAAATATATATCTTAAAATATTAATAAATTGTGTTTTATTATAAATTGGTATAGCCTCCGTCACATTTGACGGATATATTCTTCAAATATGATTTGTCAACAATAACCGATAAATACATCATTTTTAATTTGTTAACTGTGATAGATATATCCATCAAGCATGATCAGTCAATCGTGACTACTATTTATGTCATCCTTGGTTAGTAAACAACAAAAGAGTGAGGAGCTCAAATATATGTTTTAAAGTCGATAGAATTCATAAGTGCAAGGGAGAAGAAAAATCACATGTACACAAATGTTTCCATCACTTTTGTCCATTTGCCTTAAGAAACTGATAGAAACTTTGTGATAGAAATAATGCATCAGTAGTGCCATTCAAATGACCGATCAAATGACTGTCACTGTTATTGTAGGGTACATACAAAATATTTGTTATGAAACAAGGTATATTAATTATAAGGTAGTGTTAACAGAGCAGCTGATTGTTTTTTACTAATACTCTTTTGATTTTTTTACATGTACAGTGACTGTCATTAATATTCGGTTTTTACATTTCCGTTTTCTCTGTTCTTAATTTAAAAAAAAAAATATATTTTAAGAAATTAAGTAACAAGTTAGAAAAAGCCGAATATTAATGAAGCATAGATTTATGTTTAATCGATGTATATACAAAATTTGGTACGCATAAAAAGCTCTTAATATGTACAACAATAAGTACAAAATATTTTTTTAAATACCTTAATTTTTATTTAAAAGTTAAGAATAGAAAAAACAGAAATGTAAAAACCGAATATTAATGACAGTCATTGTAGTTTGACAGTGTGCTGGCACTTTGTTGTGTAGGCATACTGTCAAACTCCATATATAAAAAATAAACTGAATTCGCTTTGATTTTCTGAATTCGCCGACGAAACTACCTTATAATTAATATATCTTGGGTATGAAATATTTGCTAAATAATTTCGCAAAAGCAGTACCAAGGCGAATTCAGATAAGGTGGTGGAAGTTCTGCAAAAACAACATTTTACATGTATTTTGTTTTTGCATTTGGTTTACGTAGATGTCAAAAACCATAAGTACGGCGAATTTATTTCATAAAAAATGTTTTTCAAATTTATTCATATGGGTAAATTTTTCATATGTGTTTCTTTATATAAAGTGTTCCGAAAGAGTTAGTTACGTAGTTATTCAGTTAGTTACGTTATCTACACAATGTTAATATAAAATATAAAACAATATTATTTAATATGTTAACATTTAAAAGAAAAAATATTTGTCTTAAATTACGTTTTTGTATACATACCAATTATGCCATTATTTAAATAAAATGATATTTGTTTACGAAATGCTTGGTATTTTAAAATTTTTTACATAATTATTTCAAAATATTAACGAAGTTTAACAGAAATTTTATATATAATAACAAACTTTGACAGCTACGTAAACCAGGCGAATTAAGAAAAAATATCAGCTGATTGAACTTTTTCATACTTTTCGACTATTTCCGACTTTTTGACTTTTTACGACTTTTCGACTTTTTTCAACTTATCGACTTTTTTGACTTTTATTTACCAAGTCGACTTTTCGACCCTTTTCATATACGATAGTCGAGTTATCGATTTTTTGGAACAAAATAATCCTGTTTTAGAGCACTTTTAGCTGAGGGGTCATGTCGCAGGGTTTTTTCTCCATTCTTTTTTAAATGCCCTTCGTAAAATAATGAACGTTAGATGGAGACTCAAAAGGCGTGCCACATTTTTTGTTAGTGTTGTATTTATGATTCTTAAATGTTGTTTCTATTATTTTGTTTAATAATATATATGTTTATTTTTTAAATATTTGTTAATTAAATGTTGTGTTAAATAATTTATACAAATTTGGTGAAATTACGACCAATTGATTATTAAATTATGAGTTTAGTTGAGAAATATTGTTATTTTTATAGTTATTTATTTAATTATTTGTATTCTTTATAAAAATAACTAAAATTTAACAAGCAAATATCTAAAATATTTGTTATTTTTGGATTAAATATAATGTAAATAAAACTCAAAATATTGCAAGTGGCAACACTGATTCATGCATTCGAGTGATCGCACACGATCTTCACTCTTTGAGTGCAGAATAAAAATAAAGCAACTACCAAAAATACGAACCCTTAACAAAAGAGATACCAAAAAAACCCCTCAAATTACGATTCGTTCGTCTTTTGCTACTTCCCTTTTTTCTTTACACCCTTTGCCAACAAACTCGTGTCGCACTTTGGTGTCCCTTCAGCTAAAAGTGGTCTTAGGCTGTCACTTTTCAGGCATGCCTTTTTCTCAATTTTTACATGTGACTTTTAAGGCATGCGTGCTATTGAGTGTGAGAGTTGCCATATTTATTCTTAATGTATTGATTTAAATATTAGTTGTGTTTTGTTGCTATCAATGAGTGTTAACGCTTAAAGTTAGCAACAAAACGAACATTACCTGACTTGGCATCACTCCACAGAAGAAATCTGCTAAATCTTGAAATTATTTACAATTTCTTGAAAAGGTTTTTTTATTTGGTAATTTTCTTTGATTTAAATTTTATTTTAAAATATTTTTTTATTGTTTGACATAAACACATTAATATTTGTATTTTTATTTTTGAATTGGTAGCACTTTTATCAACGTTAAAATTAACTTGTATAATTTTACACGTTAACTCCTAACGTTTATAAATTTTAAATTTATATGAAATTGCCTTTGAACGTTAGCAACAAAACACAACTATTATATAAACGAATTAATATCTTTATTTTTTAAATCTTTGTTAAATTAAATATTGTGTTATTTTTTTAAGTAGTTATTTTATTATTTTATGAAAGACATTACTAAAATACTTTATATTACATATTTGTTTACCATTAGCTGTAAGTTTTAGATCTTTTTGTAGTAATTTATTTTTATTAAAGAAATAATTTAATTTTAATAAGCTAACATTTGAAAAAAACATTTTTACTTTCGAATAAAATAAAATATAAAAAATTAAATTATTGGAAGTGGCAACACTTAACATGTGTGATAGTAAACGCACGCGATCTGCTGTGCGAGCAGAATAGAAATAATGCAACTACCAAAATTACGAAAGTGTGACAAAAGCAATGTCAAAAAGACACTTCAAATTACGTTTCGTGCTTGTTTCGCAACACTCTTTTCTTCTTTTCTCCCTTTGCCAACAAGCTCGTAAGGTCTGACTCAAAAGGCATAGTCGACTTGGACTTTTTTCGACAAACGTCGATTGTTCGATTATTTGAAAGTCTATTTATAGAACCCTAGTACTCTGTTCTTCTTGTGAAAAACATTGTGAAATTTATCTGGCAACCTTGTTTACCAACTTAAGGTGGTAATAGACGACATGTATTTTGCATACGTACTGTCAAAATTTCCATCTGTAAAAGTTGTACATATCGTCTGATACATATGAAATATTGCATATGTAAAATACATGTGGAAATACATATGTAATTTTTTCGATTATAGCGTGCTCTATTTTCGTATGACAAGCATAAACAAAACAACTGTTTTGCTTTGAAATACAATTTTTTGAAAAAAGTAAATTAAAGAAAATGAATAACGAATATGAAAAAGTAAGTATTTTTTCATTTTTAATAAACTAATTTATAATTTTAACAATTTTTACACATTAAAAAGACAGCTTTGATTACATTATAGGTTATGTCATATGGAAAAACACAGGCAGGTGTGATAAACTATGAATCATATGTAAAATAACAATTTTGACATACATTCGGAATTACATATGGATACAAAAGTGACAGTACATATGTAAAATACATGTCGTCTAATACCACCTTTAGTACGCAAACGTAACAAGTACACTTTTAATAGAAATTGGGATT